AGAGAGAGAGAGAGAGATTTAGATATCTTTATTAAATGTACGCTACTGTTAACTAGCAATTAGGATCTTTTTCTGCTCATAATCTTTCTTTCACTCTCTATTCTTTTCATGTCCACGCTGCACTTAGAAGATTACTTTCTTTAATATAATAAATTGAAGACGTACATTTTATGTTTCATTTCATTTTGCATGTGCTTCGAGAATGCGATGCGTACACGCATTGCGCATATATGCAGGTATGTAAAAGCACGAAGGTGTCCGGAAGTTCTTACGATGTGATTTACTCTTTATTACTGAAACGAAAAGATAATAAATGGCTAATTACATTAACAAAGTACTTCTGTAACAGACATTTCATGATTTAAAGTGCTTTCAGTGCATTACTGTGATTCATTATTATATCAATTAAAATTGTTACCGTGTTTTATCTGCGAAACACACAAGTTCGGATTAATTTAATTACATTTCGAAAATTTTTACGTTCAATGTCCCAAATGTATACGTATGTATCTAAATAAATGTATCTCGAATCTCAAAGCAGTGATTTTATTAAAAAGTTTTTTTAAATTGACATGTATATTATGTAGTAACCCACTTCTATATATATGGAATATTTTTTGTGCGAGAAGACGTGTTTCCGAAAAAGCAAAGAAGCTTTTATTTAATCAATACATTTTAGAATAATGAGATCCTTTATATTTCCTCTTGAAAAAATTAAAAGGACGTACTGAAGCTAATTCGGTGAAAAAATTAAAAGGACGTACTGAAGCTAACTCGGCTAATTCGGCAAATTAATTATTTTGAAGAATATCATCATTATTGTAAACAGCTTTTAATACGTACACAGAAATTCATATTAGTTCAATTTCTATTAAAGACAAAAACAATAAATTTCCGTCTTCTGTGCTATTTGATATTTATCAAATATATTTATCAAGTATATTTATTAAGTATTTATTAAATAGAAAATTACTGTCACGGTTAAAATTAAAGCATATACATCGCATATATTTTCTCTCTGTGAAGAAGAAATGATATATATAACTCGCCCATTTCTTTAGTCAACAAGACTTGTATTTTTATTCCTTTTGCTTTTTAAAATAACATGCAACTTTAATGAGAAAAAAAATGTAGAAAGGAATAATAAACGAACAGAAATGTTACGCAAGCGTTAAAAAATCCCAAACTGCAAATTTCCGTCTTTGTGTACGTAAATAGGAAATAAACAGAATTACGAAAAATAAATACATCTAAATTTATAGCATTTATTAAAATGATTTAAAAAGTTACCAATGATTGCGAAAAAATAATTTACTCTTTAAAATACTATACTCTTTAAAAGATTGACCGATTTCATTTTATGTATTCGTGAAACATACGGTTTTTTTTTATCGAATCAATGATAAATGTTTTATAAAAAGCTTCGATCAGGTTATTTATGTTCAGCTTCACGTTGCTGGTCGTTAACCGACGTTATGAATTTTTCAACGGATGACGTTACGAGTCGAGATGTTAGGATGAGGCACTTTCTATCGAATCGATCTGGATATTGCCTTTCTACTGCGTAAGATTTTCACTTCAAAAGCAAGCCTCGATAGCATTGAAAGACGAGCGTGCACTTTCTTGAAGCAATAAAGCCTCGATGTTGTTTTCAAGTTGCGCATCGATACTCGTGGCAAAAAGCTTGGGAGTAGCGTCTCAAGAGAAATTTAAACTCGGAATTGCGAAAGGAATTGAGCTTTCCTTTGACCAAACTCTCCGCTGAATTGGCGCATGGTCGAATATACAGAACGTCCTGCTTAGTACCGTCATCAATCTCGGCGTAATTTAATTTGTTAGTGCGTCCATCCTCGTTAAAGCTTGCGTATCTGGAGCTTGCGTATCTTTGATCGGTTGCAGAAATTAAATAATGAAAATAACGTCAAACCGTGAACTTATAGGGACGATTAGCAGAGTGTACATAAATATTCTTATTCACGCGTACAAATCTCTCTCACACACACACACACACACACACACACACGCGCGCGCGCGCGCGCGCGCGCACACACACATATATAAACATCCAAAATGCAATCTTTTTATTTTATGATTTACAATTAACGGCGGTTGCTCCTTCCCGCGCACCGAAAATGAATCAATGATTTTGTAGCGCAGTTGTGGCAGATTAAGCCTGAACCTATCTTCTAAGCCATATGGATCATTAATCAAACGTTTTTTTGCGACTCCATCCGACTGTTATACGCGGCTGCTGGTAGGTGCACGCGGATAGCGTAAAAAATTTACAACGCGCCGAGGACGAACACCTCTTTTCGTATTTCTCATCGCGTTCACCACAGTGCGGCTCACGATAGCGTAGTGATAACTTTTTTTTCTCTAGGAACGGTCGCCCGTTGAGGAAGTCTTTGGTACGTGTCTTATATAATCCTCGTCATCGCTGTTGTCGTTGTTATCGACATCGTCGATGACGCGGACGGCGCAGCGGCCAAGTGAATGACATTCTTCGTTTCCGTCGCACGTCCGAGATGAAGGGTACGACGAGGGTGACGATAACATTTCTATGAGGGTGCCTATGAATTTTTATCCAACCTGCCCGCGGCTAAGGACCCATGGGAGGATGGAGAATTGCGGTGACCCCTAAAAAAGAAAAAAAACTTACCCGACCGCTTTTTCGAGACGATAAAAGTTATCGGAGGCATTGCACCGTAACAAGGACTCGTAATTCCGTCTGGTCGACGAAAAGAGCTCGATCAAAGAGATACGATGTTACGAAAGGGAAGAGGCTTTTCCTCTATCTACAATCTCGGAAAGAATGTCCTCGGTGATCCCGGAAAACTTATCATAAAATTCTGTTCTAACTTAAAATAATGTTACTTTTGTAATGATAATTACAATGTAAACAATAGTACAATATGAACGTACATGTAATTATTGTTATTAATTTCCTTTCATTTTTTACATTTGTAAATTTCATCTATATTCAATTAGGTATATCAGTTGTTTAATAATTTATCAAAAAATCAATAAATTAATTTCATTATTGGTATAAACAAATTTAATCATCAGCAAATTTTGCTACTTTCGTTATATTTACTACAATAAATATTTTCTTATAAATATTAACATTTAGTTGAAATAATTTGTATTTAATATTGTATTATTTTGATATAAACAAAATAAATTGCATATTTGTATTAATTATTATAGATAATAATAGTTATTTAGTACGATGCGAATATAACTAAAGTTTCATTTTTTAAAATCATAATTATAATATTATTAATTACGACATTTTTCATTTCATCAACGTTATACGAAAGCGTTATGATTTATATTTTCGCCATAATCGAGATATATTTTACAAATTTAATCGAACTTTTTGTTTAGATTTTGCAGAGAATTTCACATATGTGGAAAGTATTGTTTGCGGTGCAATTCTGAATCCTCATCACATGGCGACATATCGTGCGGCGATAAGTTTTGGGAAGAAGTTTACGCGACATAAATTCTTGTCCTTCGGGAGGAATATATCTAGGAACCATAGAATATCCGAGAGTCAAATACATGGGCTCCAGATTTTCCGACCCCTTAGATTATGAGATTTCACTTTTCCAAAAACTATTTCTATTAAGTCATGGTGTCATCTATTCACGAAAATTTATCATGTTTTTATCGAGAATAATAGACACTGATATTTCTGGAATATTTCATCTTTTGAAATGGTTAAAATTACGAAAAATATAATATATTACGTAATTTTTGTACTGTTTCCAATATAAAATATTACAATATAAATTATCTTCAAAGAAAATATACACACGAGAAGAATGATTTTACTAAACCATGAAACGTGATCCGATACAAATTTGAAAATAATTTTATTGAACCATCATAGTAATTATAAAGAACGCTCAAATTAATTGCTAAAATATAAAATTTTTGCAGTATTATCTACATAATTATTTTAATTAAATTATTTCCAAATCTGTATTTCTCCAAATTTTCAGACTACTTTAACAAAACTGTATATTTTACGCATGATTTCAAGATATATTGAACAACATGTTTTGCCTGTCACATACTATTCATTTAGAAATTCCTCAATTCAAATAATTACTTCATTTGTTAACTGAGTTAATTGAGGAATTCCTGTCTTGTAATAGCAATCGCATTCTACATCTATATTGTCAACGTCTAATTACCGAAAATACTTTTCGTGATGAGAAAATCTACTGAAAAATCGTCAAAGAGCGCCAGACCGTTGAAACTTAAATCCGCGGCTTGTGTTTGCTCACGAAATAATTCCATTGGTCTATTACCGAGCGTGAATGATATCCTCGTCGACGTGGAATCTCGCTTTTCCAGGAAATCGATAATACTTTGAAAACTCTCATCGTACCCATTCCGGATGTTCGATGGATATATCACGCGTTGTTTGGCGTTTATTTAGGAATTCAAACAACCTGCCCGTGTACATGCATATAAAACGTTATTCTGCTGAATGAGAAAAATTCATGTATCACTAGGGACCGTGTGTGTGTGTGTGTGTGTGTGTGTGTGTGTGTGTGTGTGTGTGTGTGTGTGTGTGTGTGTGTGTGTGTAGG